CAGAGGTTTCCCATTTTTGCTACCTGCCTAGACTCTGTCTCCTGCCCTCTCTCTTTCTCAGGACAATATTGTGTTCACAAGTTAATGTTCTTTAAGTATATGAATTCCGTTTACAGTTTTTAACTATTAAGACTCAACGTGATATTACCAAAAATGAAGCTAAGAATGGCATTGTAAATAATGCAAGCCCTCTTAATTAATAAGGCAACCCTTATTACCCCTTAAAGCATGCATATCATAGTCCTTTCGAGAAGTAAGGAAAAGTACAAGGTATTCCTCTTGTTATTTTCATTTCTTCAGAAATAGGTGTTATTTTAATTCCATTTCACAAGAAAGGTTATACCTGTCCAAACCAGAAGTAGTAGCAAAATACTGTGAGGATTACTATTTCTTTATAGTACAGACTGTATCACATTACATTTTTCAATGTTTATTACACAGGTTTACAATTAATTTCCTCCTTATCAAACGAAAATTTTGTGCACAACCAGAGGAGCCTGAAAGATGCAGTAGTTCCATTCAACTGTAGATTTGCTCTATATCTGATGAATTCTCTCCTTATAATTAAGTTGTCATAGCAATAGATTTTTAATAGTACTGATTCATATGCCAGTAATGTTCTGGAGACGGAGCTCTTGATAGTTTTTTAGTATTCAGTTATGCTAAATTATAACTTTAGCAAATACACAAGTACTGGTCTACTTGCACTAGCAGAACATGTGATCAGACTTAAATTAGGCCAAAGCATAATCGGACATACACAACTAACAGAAAACTACATAAAACTTTGGGTGGCTCAGCTCAAGACAGAAAAGGCAAATCCTACACCTGCCTTGTTTTAAATGTAAATGTTTCATGATTAAAAACCCCTTAATTATTACAACTTACTAGGCAGAAAGAAAAGTTTTGGTTTGGTTCCCCCCCCCCAAAGGTATTGCTTCCGTATATTGGTACTTATATGGTACACCAGGCAGCCGTGGAGAATAAGCATTGAAAATGAGAAATCGCAGTACTTTTTGCTGACTCTGTTTTAGCATGTCTTCCTCTCTATATTTTTAGCAGATCAATTAAATTACACATATTTACAAGGTTTCAAAATAACAGGAAATCATCCTCCAAGGACTAGGACTGTATGTCTTGGCTGTTTCCAAGGCACTTATAGCAAGTGTCAGCATGCACGACTCTGTGAGAGCAAGATATGAATCATGAGCAAAGAAAATTGCCTGATATTTCATTCCTTTTTTAATTCAGAATGTGAAGAATAATGTGCATTATTTTTTAATATCAGGCAAAATATAAGTGAATCAAGGAGAGATGAAGAAGAAAATGGTGTTAGTTTATTTTCTGTGGCTGGGAAAGAGAAGGAGGGCAGAGAAAGATTCTTTTCCTCATGTCTCTCTGGAAAGGATAAGGCTTAAATTTTGAAGTGTTGGTTGAGAAGAGCATTACGTAGCACACATCCTCTAAATGCTCCTTCAAAGGGCAGATGAAGGGGAAAGTATATTGTGAATGCAGTAACTGACCTAACTAATATGTCTTAATGAAGATGTGTATTGATTTGGTTATGAGGAATGCTTAGCCTCTAAATATATAAATGTAAAATGGTAATTGTTCACCCTGAAGTTTCTGACCTTCCCTGGATAATGTGAGAAACACACCTGCTTAAGTCAGACTTCAGAAGCTTGCAAGCAAGGGAAAGGTGTGCAAGTACTATAAATTTCACATACGCTAAATTTACCTGTTTCATATATATAGCTTAAGAGTCAAAAAATTAAACCAAAACCCCCTTTTTTTTTCAGACTGAAGCACAGTGGAAATCTAACAGTGGCAAAGATAAAGTTACCAAGGGAACTGCGGAGTGATGGAGGCAAGAAGGTACCAAATGACTAAGCAGAATTTTTGCTTCCCTTTCACTTCCTGGTATATGCATTTTTCCTTAGGATCAAAGTTAATTCTACACTTTGAGTATCTAGGAGGTAAAAAAGTGGAATACACTTGCTGAAGCTGACATACAAACTAAGACTTCCCAGAAAATAAATATAGTAAGAAATATAGGAATATATGCACCTTTACCCTTTATTTAGAATGGATTGTACTTTAGTTAATAAATAAATAAATAAATAACATTTTCCTTAGCAGTTGTAAGCTTTCTCTTCTATGAATTTCTGGCTGTTGCTGCTTTCTTCTTCAAAAAATGCAACTTTAAAATTAATAGAAATCACACATTTAATGAAGGGATCAGCAGTCTTTAATGTAGTCTCAGACTAGTTGCACAATTGGGTCCTTTTAATAAGGGCCCATCACCAGAGCAGTGCAGAAGACGCTGAACATAGCTGGGGTTATTAATTTCACACTCTCGAGGCTCAGGTCTAGTGAGAGGCAGAGCTGGGCAGCATTTGGCCCGTACGTACAGGCATAATCTGCAGGTAGCATGTTTTTACACAGTTCCAAAGTAGTTGTGGTCACACTAAACTAGTTAACTATCTGGGGAACACAGATCAAGAACAACATAAGTCTTTCCTGGTCTAAAAGATCATTTACAGTACACAGAAAGAAACAACTGTTCCTGATGACATTTTTTTCAGTAATTTCCTGATTTTTCTTAGACAAAGAATATCACCTCTTCAAGACTATCCTTAAGAATATTAAGTATCTGATTCTGGCAGTCCTCTGTGAATTGAGTGCTATTTGCCTGACTACAGTCATTGGCAAGGTGCAACTAAAAGATGAGAGATGCTACAGCCATTTCTGGATACTGGAAAATGTTTGTGCTCATGGAGGTGTGTGGTACTTATTTAGGCCATGAAGTGTGTTAGACATGGAATACATGTAGAGATAGGAATGGTGATCAGTTTATACCCAAACCCTGAAGACTTACAGCCTTGTAACTGATAGTAGTAGCATGCTGAGGTTAAGTGAAAGTTGCACAATTTTCTAGCTTTCCAGTCTGTCTGTAATGAACATGGCCTCATTCACCTTCTTGGATGTATTCCTAAGTATAGGGAATGAACTGTTGCTATAGGATACTTCTAATCTAGTTCTTTGCTGCTAGGCAAAAGCTCTGCAACATTTTGAATTAAATGTTTGAAATAATTGCTTTTCCAGAAAAACAAACAAACAAAAAAAACAAACCAAAACATTGCTTTATATTTCTGCTTTACTTGTGTTCATTTTCATATACTAAAATATCACTTAACAGTAGCAGAAATAGTAACTGTGGATGGACTCTGAGATTGGCTGTAAAGATCGAGTTGTGGTGGGAGGCTAGAAGACAGTAATACTCTAACTAGTAATACACTTTGAATTTATCAGTTGCTTCATACAGAACTGCCGAGATATCAGAAAAAAAACAGCCATACTCATTTTTCCACAAGTACCCCACAGCAATGCCGATAGTATCAGGTACGTACAGCCGTAATGCAAGTATATTTATCTCTATACAACAATAACACATGGGAGAGAGATAAACAGGGGCAAACCTCTAGCTGACTGCAACAAATATCTTTACAAATATGATTGCATTATCTACATGGAAAAGGCATTTTTGAAGACCTGGGACTGGATGAGTAAGAAAGAAGCAGGCATTGAGCACTCCCAGGGGACCGGTACAAAAGAGAGTAGAGAGGAGTATCTGGCTGTTGCCTACTCTTACACTACAATGTAAGCTGACAAGGTAGTATTTAAAAAACGCTTCCATACAAAAATCAGCCCAGTGTTATGAAAATGTTATTGACAGGTTCTGCGTGGGCTTTCTGTTTTGATTGCCTTGGAGGAAAGATAAAGGGAGAATCACAGTCTACATTTTTGCCCCTCAAGTAAATACAATAGACTAGCCCCTCATCATTGCTCCCTTTCATTTCCCATTAAATTCGCCTTCAGTGAATAACAAAGCTGACCCTTTCCTCAGACAAGGGGTACTTCATCTTGCAAAGGTGTATGTTTGAGAAAAACAGCTTCTCTGCCTGCCTGGATTCTTCTCTCCTCATCATGACGCAGAATAATCTCATCCAACCTCAGATCCAAAATGGCACTCGATAGCTACATCTTCCAATTGCTTGGTTCTTCCTTATGATTATTTATCAAATGCAAGATATACAGGCAAAGTAGTGGTAAATAAATGTTATATGTAATACTTTCCTTTTTCCTAGTTTAAAGGCCAAGACAGAGAGTGAGCCTACAGGTGACCAAGAAGACAAAGTTTCCAACTCGTTTTAAGTTTGCACATTAAGTACCAAGCAAGTCCTTTCCCAAGGTACTTAAACCAAAAAATGCTACGCCAAAGCCTGTCTTGGATCATCATTTTGAAGCTGTAACACAAGTCGTCACTTTGAGTGCCAACAGAGATGAGACAAATGTGTGTTTGACTTCATTCAGCAGAGATTTTTATAGAAAGGGAAATACGCTTTGGTTAATGTGGAAGTTACTACCAGAAACAGCAAGTTGTTAGTTAAAAAGGAGCAGATAATGGGAAATGCTTTTTTCCTTGGCCTACAAAGTGGAATTATATCGCTGATAAAAAGCATGAAAAGGGACCGTTTAATACCGTATTTATTTATTGGATAGTTATGACTTTGACTCAGTGATTCTTCTATACTTTGCTAGCTAACAAAAATGGCCAGGCTGACGTCATACTTGTGCTGTTACTCAGCAAGCCATGCTATTACCTCTACATTTTTAGGAAGATGTAACAGTTAACCTTGAATACTTCATTCCGTAACATAGACTATCTCTCAGGGAAGTTTAAAAAAAATAGTTTCAGATACCATAGATCTCAGTATTGTATTGATATGGAACATTAGGGCATAGCAACAAACTAATGTCGAACAGTAAAATGGTGAATAGGAGCATTCTAGCAAAAAGAAAAGTAAAAAGAAGGAAAAAGGCTAGATATTGTAAACAATTTATTTGTTGCTATAGCCCAAGGCTTTTTCCTGATTCTTTTCAAGCTGCAATAAAAATGATATGAAATATTTAAAATGTGAACAGGCAAGTTTACTTACTGTTTCCTGGATGCCAGCGCACTGCATTTAAATATGCATTACAATAATGGAAGAGAAATTCATGCTTGGATCGGGTAACTTTTCCTTGAAGTAAGGGCATCAGGTCATGTCCATCAATAATTCTGAGTAAGAAAGCATTTCAAAATCAGAAGAATACCCCAAACCTCACTTTACTTGGAAGATATTATAACACTGCATTTCCGCTCCTTAAAAAAATAAATCTTCCTGTTATGATCTGAATTGCCACTTCCAGTTGGTCAATTTGGAGAAAAAAATTCAGGTGCTCTTCCCCTTTGATTTTTACATTATTTAAGGAAACATTAATTTTATATTTTGCCATTAGGAACAGTTGCTTCCTCAACCCATTTTATCTTTTTTCTATTTTTTTTTTTCTGAGAAAGTGACCAGACATATGTGAGTAAATTGCTACAACACAGTCCTCCAGGTATACAAACACATATACCTGCTCAAGCTCTTTGGGAGTAGGCTGGCTGAAGTAACCCTAAACCAAGAAATATACGCTGTGCTATGCTAGCATCCCCAGAAGTAATGGTAAGAACTTGTTGTGGTTTAACCGGCAGCTAAACTAAACACCACACAGCCATTTGCTCACTCC